AGTCTGGGCACAGGGGCTTGTCACGAAATATTTATCTTACCCCTACTATAAAAATAGTGTATTTTTATAGTAGGGGTAACTTTATTAAAAGAAGATAAATATTTCGTGACAAGCCCCTGTGGTCTGGGGATCTCTATATCTAGGCCAAGTTTTGTTTTGGGTACGATCGCACCATTTTTGACAGAGTAATGCCCCTTGGACTTAGAAAAATTTCAATTATTTGCAGTTTCCGCTCATTTTCTTTGCAACGGTTGCACATACTGAAATTAAATTTGGTATACAGATATGTCACATGAATATCTAGGCCAAGTTCCGTTTTGGGTACGATTGCACCATTTTTGACAGAGTTATGCCCCTTGGACTTGGAAAAATTTCAATTATTTGCTATTTCCGCTCATTTTCTTTGCAACCGTTGCACATACTGAAATCAAATTTGGTATACAGATATATCACATGAATATCTAGGCAGAGTTCTGTTTTGGGTACGATTGCACCATTTTTGACAGAGTTATACCCCTTGGACTTGGAAAAATTTCAATTATTTGCAGTTTCCGCTCATTTTCTTTGCAACCGTTGCACATACTGAAATCAAATTTGGTATACAGATATATCACATGAATATCTAGGTTAAGTTCTGTTTTGGGTATGATCGCACCATTTTTGACAGAGTTATGCCCCTTGGATTTTGAAAAAAATTTAATTATTTGCAGTTTCCGTTCATTTTCTTTGCAACCGTTGCACATACTGAGATGAAATTTAATATACAGATTAATCAGATGAATATCTAGGTCAAGTTCTGTTTTTGGTACAATCGTGCCATTTTTGACAGAGTTATGCTCCCTTGGACTTAAAAAAAAATTCCAATTTGGGGGGAGGGGGGCATAAGTGTTTTACAAACATCTCTTGTTTTAACATTTGAACATCCAAAACAAGCTATTTTTGACAGATTTAGGCACATCCCTGCATTTGAAATTATTATACCCCTTCTGTAATACCTCTTTATAAATTAATACCATAAAACCGCCTATTTCCCAGAGAAGAGACTATTTCACTCATCTGAAGACCACTCCCTGGAAAATCAGAGTTACTCCCTGGGACTACTCCCTCGTGAATATTTATTAGTCATTTTAACCAATGAAAGTGTTCAGTGGGCGGAGCGTTCCAGGAACCTCGAGTTTGTGACATCATGTATTTAGCAATGTAACTATAACGTCAAAACATTTCAACATGCAATGTCAAAATCATAGTTACTTGAATTCTAGCAAAATGAAGACAATTATAAATTCTTGGAAAAATCAGTGAAAATATTTTTTAAAAAATAATTACATTGTTCAAGGACACGATGCATTATTAAGTTATCTTTTAAACCAAGTGCAATTGTGATTTGTGATTCCCCTCGGGGAACCATAAATTTGCTATTTCCCTGATCGTATCCATTCCATAAATGCATACTATGATGCCATGGCGTAAAGAGTGCAATATACATGATGTCACAATGCTTTTAAAACATCGCAATACATGCACGAGGCTTTATTAGGGCAGTGAGTCAGTGACCAGATAAAGCTTTGGTTTATTAGGTTACATTTATTAGGTCAATGCAAGGGATAGTTGAAGAATAAAATCCTTTATGGGGTCCATTATTCTTTACTTTGCTGTGGCATAGTTTCAAGTTCAAGTGCTACTTTTCTCTTCCTTTGTTACAAATACAAATCAGAGCTACAGTCTCATCAGAGATTTCTGGTTTAGCCATTGGTATTAGTAATTGGAGGCTTCCTTTTCTTCATGGTAGTTATCATAACAATCTGAAGGAAAATAATCCCCATCAAACCCAGGTTTTGTTTGATTACCTGTGTATGCATTATTTATTACAAAAATGTATTATGAGAATTCTGTGTTTTTGAACTTTATTTTACAGGGTTTGGGAACCATCAATTTGATGTCGAGAGTTTCAACTTATCCTAGGCCTGGTAGACTTTTAGCTAATAGCATAAATTTAGACTTACGGACTAAAAATACAAGGTGAAGATAAGTAAGGAAAACACAGCCTTGATAAATTTCAGAGAATTCTTGATGGAAGAGTATGCAGACCTGGACCAAAAATTTGTAATATGAATAATTTTGAAGAAAGAACAATCTTGGCATTTCAGAGAATTCTAAATGGAAGAGTGCAAGTGTTGTTACTTGAACAATATGTACATGAAATCTGTCCTTTGACAACATCTGACATTGGATTTGTAGTGCTGTATTTAATGAACTGGGATCTGCATGAGTTATCAAACTTGAGATTTGGCATTTATATTGATTGCATACATTAAAATATTCAATGTATAACAACCATATTTTGTACCAAAGTAATGAATGGTCCAATATCGGATCATGGTAGCAGCTGCAATTTGATGGTGTTATTCAATAAAAATGATTCATAGTAGGAATTTGCCAAATTTTGATTATTGTCCAATTAATTGCATCTTGATTTCAACTTTGAAGTACGGTATATGGGCAGCACGTTTTTTATTATAAAGATATTGTAAATTGTAAAGTGAATCTGAAACAAATCTCTTGGTGAAAAGATGCATAAACTCTATCATTATTATACTATGAAATAAAACATATATCACATATATTTTGACAAACTAAAAACATTTTTTTTAATCATGGGTAGAAAACTCTTCAAAATCTTTTAAGAGAAAAATGACCAGCTTCTTTCATGTTTTAGATTTTGTCAATTTGGTTCATTTCACATTTATTGTTTACTAGCAATGTGTTTTAATTAGTTTAAAATCATTCAAAATTGTTCAAAATCCCTTGTTTATACATTCAATACTTTAAATTTGCATTTCCAAAAGCAAAACAATGAGGCAATTGTTATTTGAATTTTCTCTACCATTTTCTTAAAAGAAGTAATTCATTTTTTAAGTATTTGAAGTATCAGGTTACTCAGATAATGATGATTTATTGAGCTACCCAATTGTTGACAATAAATAAATCATATATTGTAACATTTAGTACTCATTTTCTAAAAAAATGAGACAAAAACAATTCCACTCAAGAGGGAGAGAATGAAAAAAAAAAATAAAAGAAAATGGATAATAAACTGGGGGTGACTTTTTTTAGTGTTCCCATGGGTTTTCTTGGATTTGAATGACAAAAATGTAATAAAAGATGTGGAGATAATGAACAGTATTTTATATAAAAGTCCATAAAACAATACAAAATACAGTGTAAGTGGAAATTTTAGCGAGATGCAAAACTGTTAGCGAGAAGTTATTTTAGCCATTTCAAAAATGCCACCAAAGAAGCTATTTCAAATGAAACCCAAATTAATTTTTAGTGATGTCAGTGCCTTCACTAATAATGCCAAAATAAAATTCTCGCTAAAGTTTCCACGTATACGGTAGGAGCAGAGGAAACATGGACCTCAAAAAATTAGAGGTGGGATCAGGTGCCATGGAGGAGCGAGCATCCCCTGCCAAACAGTCACACAAGCTGTGTGCTCCTTGTCACGATCCCGAAATAGCGGAAAATTCTATCGTCAATTCAGTGTATAAATATTGGACTAACAATAACAATGCTGACTGAAAAATATCAGTCAGCATTTGACTCAATTGTATTTGCTGACAAGGTCATTGAATCGACGGTAGGACCTATAAAATCATGACTTTAAACGAGACTGCCGATATTCTTGTTTCATCAATTTGCTTGTTAATAATTTACCTTGTTTTAGAAATTGATCATATGCTGTAGGCACTTTGAAAAAACTAGTTCGACTTCTTGGAGGTCTTCCATACATACACAGGATAATTTTTAGACCCAAATACTGTACATGAACATTGAAAATACATGTTTAAAATATATGAGCTCCTATATAGATATATGTGCCCCATAAAGGAGCTCCAATATCTTGAACATGATTCAGGTCTACAGTCATAAATAGAGGCAAGATCATAGAAAAAAATATCCACTTAGCTATAATTAAACAAAAAAAAAACAAGACGCCCTTGGGCCGCATAGCTCACCGGAACAGAGTAGCTAGGAAAAGAGCAGAAATTTCAGTATCGAAAAGTCTTAATTAATATAGGTGGTTCCAACCTACCCTGAAGGGGGAGGAGTCATGCTCTGAACAAACTTGAATAATTGAATCTACACTAGTTAAGGATGATTCAGATCTACGGTCAAAAATAGAGGGGAGATCTTGTAAAATAAAAATATTCCCTTACCCTCCCCCTCATCCCCACCCATCACTTGAACAAATCTAATGTAGACTACATGAGGATGCTTCCATTTAAATGTTACTGATTACATGTATGGCTTTGCTGCTCTTGAGAAAAAAAATTCTCAAAAAATTTTCCTATATATTTTTTGCTTGTCAATTGTGCCCTTCCTACCCCAGGTCATGATTTGAAAAAGCTTGAATTCACACTACCTGTGGATGCTTCCATATAAATAGGACCAATCATGGCTTTGCTGTTCTTTAGATTTTTCCTATATATTTCTATGTAAAAACTTAGATTCCCTATTGTGGCCCCGCCTTTCCCCCACAGGTCATGATTTGAACAATTTAGAATCTACACTACCTGAGCATGCTTCTACATGTTTCATCCTCTCTGGCCCAGTGGTTCTTGAGAAGAAGATTTTTGAATAACCCCACCCTATTTAGTCTTTTCTTGATTATCTCCCATTGGAAGGCGACTTGGCCGTTCATTTTAACAAGTTAAACTTCCCATCATGTAAGGATGTTTTGTACCAACTTTGGTGAAAATTGGCTTAGTGGTTTTTGAGAAGAAGTTGAAAATGTGAAAAGTTTACAGACGGACTACTTACAAAAAGTGATCAGAAAGGCTTGAGTCTTCAGTGAGCTAAAAAAGGATAAGTTTTTTTCAGACAGACAGAGCAAACACCGCATGCCCCCAAATCTTCAATTATGGGGGTTAAAACTATCGGTGCAAAATTACATCGAAATACAGGTACAAATTTCCTACAAATATAAGCACAAAACAAGACTGGAGTAATAAGTTTATTATATTGTTTCAGATTTTTTTTTCTTAAATCAATCCACACCAAGTAAAACATCTCTAAATTTCAGTAACTTATCAGTATCCAGTTTGTGTAGAGTTTTCATCTGCTAATAAATCTGTACATATTATGTATTGATATATGGTTATCTTGAAATGTTTCAAGATTGATATCGTATGGACACTGATTTCTCAGATTAGATACACTATAATGTCAGAAGGCTCATAGACTCAGTGATAAAGAATTACAAGCATTGTACAAAATTTAGTGATAGCAATAGCTTTGACAGTTTATCAATCCATCTAAATCTATAAAATAGATCTTTCTCCTTCTTCAGGTCCTTTTCTTTCTAACAAAACATTTTCAAAGCTGGATATGACATCATTCACTGGAGGTACTGAAATGTAACAATATCATTACATGTATATCACCTGATTGTTGATCAATGAAAATAACACATAACAAGAGGCCCATGGACCACAATGCTCACCTTAAAATGAGCTCCCATAACATGCATTTCTGTCCCTTCATCACAATTTGCATTTATCTCAGTTTCAAAGACAGTATTCAAAATATTTTTACAGAAACTTCATATGCTTACACATAATAAATAATGAGAGAACCTCTCCACTGCATCCACTTTTTTGGACATTGACCTTTCTTTTGACATTGATCTTAATTTCTTGAATTTGTGTTTAGCCTAGTTTCAAGAGTTATTAATAATATTTTTGTCAAACCTTATATGCTGATACATATTTCTGGGACCTATTTAATTTCATCAAAATTTTTTTACTTGATTTTTCCTACAATTTAATTTGTTCAAATCAGTTTTAAAAGGATTAGAAGAATAAACTAGGAAGATTTTCAAATGATTCAAAAAAAAGTTTTCTTCTTTTCTGAATTATCTCCCTTCAGCCTAAATCCTACCCCTTCAATCTTGCCTTTTGATTTTGTTGAATCATGGGGGGAGAGATTAAAATGTAAAAAGTTTACAGATAACAAAAGGCCCATGGGCCACATCGCTCACCTGACAAGCTTTGACCATTCTGCTCTTTACCAGATTTCCCCCTTTGTAATACATATTGTAACCCAACCCTACCCCACTGATATAATTTAGACAATTTGAAATGTACACTACATGTACCACAGGATGCCTTGATTCCCCATTGTTAAACTTTGATTCCCCATGGTGGCCCCGCCCTTCCCCCGGGGGTCATGATTTGAAAAATTTAGAATCTACACTACCCCAGGATGCTTCCATATAGGTTTCAGCTTTTCTGGTCCAGTGGTTCTTGAGAAGAAGATTTTCAAAGATTTTTCCTATATATTTCTTTGTAAAACTTTGATTTCCCATTGTGGCCCCGCTCTTCCCCCGGGGGTCATGATTTGAACAATTTAAAATCTACACTACCTCAGGATGCTTCCACATAAGTTTCAGCTTTTCTGGCCCAGTGGTTCTTTAGAAAAAGATTTTTTAATGACCCCACCCTATTTTTGTCTTTTCTTCATTATCTGCCCTTGTGAAGTTGTGAGGGTACATGGCCCTTTATTTTAACAATTTAAATTCCCTTTCACGCAAGGATGCTTTGTACCAAGTTTGGTCAAAATTGGCCCAGTGTTCTTGAGAAGTCGAAAATGTGAAAAGTTTACAGACGGACGACGGACAAAATGGGATAAGAAAAGCTCACTTGAGCCTTTCTCAGGACAGGTGAGCTAAGAACGCTATTTTATATGATGGATAGCAGAAACTCTATGATCAGAGAAATTTACCTAAGCCTATGGCTCAAGTGAGCTAAAATGCACAATAAATTGTCTGATTTTAACATAATATCAATACAGGGTAAATTTAAATATAGAGCCCACTAGATACTGTACATTATTAAATTAATAAATTCTGGAGTATAAGATTTAAACCAGAAGTCTCTGTTGAGACTGTAGCTCTACTGGTTTGTACTTATAACAAAGGATGAGAAAAGAAGCCATTGCCATCAGAACAAAACTTGAGAAGGAGTACCACTTAGCATTTTAAAGGAATTTCACAGACATTTCTATTTTTAGTAACAATGGCAACACTGTTCTTTGAAATTAAAACTGGTGCACTTTTTTATGTATCCTAGTATAGTCTACTTGTGTGCCAAGTTATATTGAAATCAGACCAAAATTGTAGGAGGAGTAGCGTTTTAAAGGAATTTCACAGAAAATTCTATTTTTAGTAATCATGGCAACCCATTTATTGAAATCAAAATTTGATGCGCTATTTTATGTATCTTAGTGTAGTCTACTTGTGTGCCAAGTTATATTAAAATCAGATCAAAACTGTAGGAGTAGTAGCATTTTGAAAAATTGTTTACAGATAGACAGACAGACAGACAGCTAGACAGACGGATGGACGACCGACACCTTACTATCCCATAAGCTTTTCTGGTCTCTGACTAGTAGAGCTAAAAAATTAATAAAAAATATCTGCAATGCCCTCAAGCTTTTTTTTACACCCTCCCTAGGTAAATCTGCCATTATCTATAATAAATAAATCACTTCTTTAAATTCTGTAGAACAGAATGTCCATTTTACCTTGTCATCCATATTTCTTTAAGTTAATAATCCTTTTCTTTCTTTACAACACTGTTTTCTTTCTTTAGAACATTTATACATCTAAAAACCAAAACTCTTTGTAGCTCCTAAAAAATAAATGAACACATAATTCTTTCAATTATTATGGAATATAATTTTGATTTCTCTTGCAATTGATGACTGATGATTGATGATTGTTTTAAAATGCAATGAAGAGTGTTTTACATAAAACAAAACAAGGAATCAGTATCAGATTTTGAATCTTGATTCTGGGAACTACTCAGCATGATATTATATCATAAAATATGTATACACAGAACATGAACACAGAGAGCATGGCTAAACTAGTTCAGTGAAAGTGTGCTATACATAAGGCAATCATTAAAACAAAACTGTAAAGGAAAAATAACCAAGCTTGCCTGTTAGCTCTAAAATCAAAGGCTGATGGCCTTGTAGACGAGGGCTGATGGCCTTTGTTGACCTAGGGTTTGAGTGAGGCCGGTGGCTTTAAAAACTTAAGAGTAGGCCGATGGCCTGAGATATACAGTGGCCGATGGCAAAGGTGACCGATGGTCACAAGTAGGAAATTATTTTAGGGCAGATTAATACACGTCAAAGACTTACTTAAAAGATTGACCATGTGTTAATTCCCATTATGTGTTGGCTGATGGCCTGAGATCATGTTAAGAGGCTGATGACCAAGATGACCTACGGCAGAGCTCCAGATAATTTTTCACCATAAAGCGTATTTACTCCATGATTTTTTTTATCAGTGCAGATTTTCATTTTCAGCAAAATGATTGAAGAGTATTTTGTTTATATTTCAATGTTTTAGCCTTTATTTTGAGCTTGTAATCGAAGTATGTGTTTTTGAAGAGAGAAAAAACTTTCAAGGTCAGTTCCTGCATTTATTTAAATAAATTTTGTAAATACCAGCAAGACTTTTTGCTAAGATTGGGAAGCATTCTTTTTTGACAAGGAAGATTATATAGTAGGTCAAGCTACCAAAGAGTCAGAGACACAAAAAACTTTTCCTTCATTTACAATATTGTATCAAGAGTAAACTGAGAGAAAAGAATCTTCGTAAATGTGGTAAGTTGAGAGAGATGAAAAAATTGGCTATGAACCCATAATAAAAAAAAGTTATTCTTAGTGCAAAGTCTTTCTACAGAGAAATTGCTTTTAATCTTAAACTCCTTTTCTTCCTCCCGAAATTGAGATCGTCGTCGTCATTACTAGAATATTCCTTGTCACTAAAAGGCTTTTGAAGCTGCACTTCCTATTCAAAAAAATCAAACACTGAGTTGACCTCTATTTGTATCATTAAGTAAGTCATACCTGTATTCTTCAACTTGTTGTTCGCAGTACTGTGTAATGTGTATGTATGATTGCTAATGTGTAATTGTACGCTCTATTTTAATTTTCAATGCGTATTTTGTAAAATTTAATGAGTATTTCTGCAAATACGCACCTTATCTGTAGCTCTGCGACGGTCATAAAAAAATTTGGAAAGATTAACACATTAAGACATTATAGGATTAACAATGTTTTAATACCCCCTCTCATAAGTCGTTTCCCTTGATAAGATACTGAAGGTGGTGGGGAACTGGTAGTTCAGTTCCAAAACAACAGAGAATCAATGTAACATGAGAATCAAGCTATTGTCTATAAGTGAAATGATTTGATTTGCACAAGAAATCACTGATAATAATAAGCTGACAAATGGTGCGAAACTCTGTACTTTATATAAACAGTACAAGTATTTAATTACATTAAAAATAATATTTAGGAAATCTTTTCATCACAATACTTGTGAATGGATTTTAATCCATACAAAGTCAAAATTGAAAGGTTTATATCCAGATTCCCTACTCAGGCTAAGTGGTTTGCCCTAATTTCCTATTTGCCCTGAGTGGATGCACTTTGGGTGGTTTTCTTCAAAGTTAACATTACATTGATTTTCATGGAAGGAAAAATAATTCCATGTTCAACTCCAAAACATTGAATGTCCTCTATTTACTCTATTAAAATCACAATCAAATACACTATAAATCTCTCACTGTGTAGAGATATCAAGTGACAGTCTTCAATACATTAAAAGCCTCCCCCCATAGCCACACATGCAGAAACACAAGCAATAACACTTCTACCTGTAAATTTCATTCCAACATTGCCAGGTTAGTTCTTACTTAGGACAATATCCATACATCTCATGATCTGCAATATAAGACAGTACATGTATTTTGATGATCTGGTCCTACAGTGAATAAAATCTGAGTAGACAAATTAATACGATTATGTTATAGTTTTACTTCAACTTGAACCCCAATCAAAGCATTAAGTTTCAATAGATGTGAAAGACTTACTGCAGAGAAAATTAAAGTTAAAACTGTAAAATACAAGTACATGTAACTGTTATATACTACACCCTTCATACAGGTACATAATGCCCCATTACACAAGCTTCACCTGCCTCTGTCTTTGGCTAATGCCCCTGCTGATGCCCAGCTAATCCAACCCAGCTGGAATCTCTCTTGTTCCATTGTTCTTCTCCACATTCACTTCAGCCAGCTTTCTTCTGAGTGCCATGTCATTGCCGGAGTACAAATCATGTTGATTTTCATCCTAGGACTATAAATAAATAGCCAATCCAATACCACTTCCTGAGAAATGTTTCAATCTAGTTGTTTTTATTTTATAAACTGTTATTTTAGAAATATACTTAAATTATGCCAATTTAACTATATATGGAATGTTAATAAAGAAATATATGTAAATTATGCTAAATTATCTATATGTACAACATAAATCACTAAACAATTCCATTCTTATATGGAAAAGAAGTACAGAGACAATTCGAACTACCTGTTTCTTTGGTAGGCTAGCTCTTAAATTTGATCTGCAGTTTGACAGAACATGATATGATAAGAATTGAAAGCGTAACCCTCATTAAAAGAATGCGTGACACTTACTTGTACATAAATGATAAGTAATAGCAGCCTACTTACAGCTTAAGCTTTGTCTGACGTCGGCTTCTTGTTTATAATCGCACAGCACATGGCCTTTTCAGGTGACGGTCTCTCTCGCATCGACGCTTGACTCCCGTCACACTTGAAATAATAAAATCTTCACGCTTCAAATAATAAAAACTTCACGCTTCAAATAATAAAAACTTTACGCTTCAAATAATAAAAACTTCACGCTTCAAATAATGTAGGAAAATCTCTCTCACTTTAACGCTTGTATCCGTCACGCTAGAAATAATAAAATCGGCAGTCACAATCTTATAATTATTGTGGAGAGGGGAGTTTTCGTTACTGTCACTAAAAAAGAAGTTATCTTTCCTGTTGAAAATAAAAACAAAGTCCCGTTTACACCATTATTATTGTTGCAAAGATTATATAACGAAGATTTCGGAAATAATTGTTTTAAGTTTTTTTTTTTTTTTTTTTTTTTTTTTTAATAAACAAACAATCACTACATTATTATTACAGGGGATGTAATGTTATAAAATGATGAAATAAGAATAATTATGATCTTGAAGTAAAATAAAAAAAAAAATAGATGTGTACAAAATAAAAAAAAAAAAAAAGTTTTTTTTTTTTTTTATTTACAATTACATGTATAATATCGTGTCCACATTAACTGGCAAGGTTATTATTGTAAAGTGTGAATAATTATGATTGGAGAAGAAAATAAAATAATGTATACACATTTAACTGACAAGATATAAATGTTGCAGGAAAATAATAAAATGTTGTAAAAAAGCAAGATTTTTAGTTTTGTATGATATAATTATTTTTGGTATAATTATATAGGAAAAAATAATAATAATGTGGGGGTACCCTACGGCTTTAGTAAAATAAAAAAAAAATGTAAAATAAAAAAAAAATGTGAACAAAATAATAAAAAAAAATATTTTTTTTTTTTTTTTTTTTTTTAATTGTAAAGTTTGAATAATTATAATTGCAGAAGAAAATAAAATAATGTGTACACATTTAACTGACAAGATTATAAAATTGTTGCAGGAAATAATAATAATGTTGTAAAAAAGCAAGATTTTTAGTTATAATTATTTTTGGTATAATTATATAGGAAAAAATAATAATAATATGGGGGTACCCTACGGCTTTCCATACTATGGATTAACAAATTTTTCTTCACTGAATCAAGTACCTGTGATCGCTGTACAGGAAAGAACAGCCAAAGTAAGAAAGATAACTTCAACATTCAGTCGTTTTATATTGTACACAAAAGTAATCTACCTTCCTGGATAGTTGAATTTTGCATAATCTGAATTTAACTTACTTTTATCGTGTATTTTTTATGGTTAAGAAGAATTTGCAAACTTCCTGATAAAAACATTTTAAACGATTTGAGTCAAAAACTTGTCCGACTTCACAACTTTGGATCCTATAACGACAAAAGCTATATTCATAGATAGGAACCAAACATGTGATCAAAAGATTATTATTTATATGTACATGTATCATTGAAAATTCAAGAAACGTATCCTTGCTTTAGTGAGAAAAAGTTGACTAGAATCCAAATCTCAATTGAGTGGTTATCTTTTATATCATATTTCAATTTCGAAAAGGACATGAATATTGTTTTTCCACTCATTTATTTTTAATATTTTCTATTTCCATTATAGTTTTTTTAATAACTACAAACTTTTCCATTCTTTTGTTTTCTTTCATTTTACGCTCTCCAGGAAACGCTTGGATAATGATCAAACGGATGACATTGTTATAAGACATATTAACATTGTCAGATTCTTTTAAAAAATATATGTTTTAGGAATTACTATGGCTGTTGTGATTTGTGAGCGCGCGTGTGTGTGAGAGGGTGTGTGTGTTGAAGGGGGGGGGGGGCTAAATGCTTGTGTAACTGAGTATAAAGAAACTCCTATTATTAATAACAAAAGGATTTTTTAAAAATTAATATAATCTTAGTCCTTTACAATTAAGGGAAAAATTACAATGAAGAGGAAAAAAAATTTCAAATCCTTAAAAGTCAGGATTATGTTACATCTGTCTCAGAAATCATTCGAGATTTGTACATTTTCCGACTTTTTAACAAAAGACCGCACTCAAAAATATAAATTTTAACTCATCATAGTGGAAATAGAACAATATTATCGCAGATAATTCAATTTATGCCTCTATGAGAAATATATTATATTTCACACCTTAGGATAATTCCGTATATCCCTGCGCAGTCTGCAGGATATGTGCCTTTAGCGCAGCGCAGTTATCATATAACCTTTCATTGCGAAAGCGCAAGCATTTCCTTTCTCGACAGAGTAAACCAATCAAAATCCTTGATTTTGTTGCGCCATTTTTGTTAGCCTGGTAGTGCCTTGAAAAAAAAAATGAAAAAGTTTGTGGAAAAGGGGACCTGCGTACATGGGGCCTCAATTATTGGTCAGCTTCTTAGCGGAGAATCATCGGTCCCTGTAATTTATGCAGTGGAAATTATCCTCATATCGTGGAACCTACTTCGGTGGAGGCACAGATGGGTTTTGGCAGGGGTTTACTTCGACAAGTCGGACAACCCCCTATGAAAAATTTGGAACAAGGGGACCCTTTCGCCCATGCATTTGAGAAGTTCTAGGAATGCAGTGATCGTGATTTCCTGTCAATTAAGGGCAGTATTGTTTTTGGTCATTATAACAAAACAAATTATGTTTTAACACTGTTTAACGTTTACATATTTGGAGCAGCTTTTGAATCATTATTTATACTTCATTTTGGTTAATCTGCATGCCTTTATAAAATACAGGCTAACTGGCGGTGCAACAGCTAGGGCAAATCATTTTCATAACTTATATTTATTTACCATATGTACCTGTTACCACTTCATGGATTCTCCTTGTGATTTGTCTTTCTGATGTACAGTAAATACATATAATGGAAACAATAGCATTCATGTCAAAATTATTTTCCAAATAGTTATTTAACTTGTATCATTGCCCCGATTATGTTACCCCCTTTTCATCGAGAGAATTGTTAGTTGTCTCAGCTAGACCTATCATGTGTACCTAATCTATTTACAGTCATTGTTCCATTGGAATATTATGCAGCTGCATCAAATGTGAATTTTAAATGACTGTTTGATTCTACAATTTTATTTATCCTGTTTACACTGGAGTTAATAACCCGCCTGATCATGGAACCTGTTTACGCATAATTTATGGCCGTGGTGTCCTTGGTGGTTGATATAATCATTGTTTACACGTGGAAATATTGGATTGTTTACAAACACATGCATGTGTTAAACCAAGTATTAAACTTTCTTCTGTGCACATGCACATGTTAAATCATTTCAGCAGTTCAAACTTTCTTCTGTAGTATATTCATAAGAATTACTAAATTAAGACATTTCTATGTGTGTCATTTATAATAGTTCTATCATTGGAACATTGTGTTTTCTTTTTTACTTAAGGGAAATATATGTTGTGTCATTGGGATTTGAATGCATTTCAATCTTCTGCATGATGCAGTGTGCAAATTTGAGATAAAATAAACCGAGAGCAATTGATTATCTGTACAAAATGTGTCAAAGGGGTTTTCGGTCAATTAACCTGTCCGCTGATCTACACATACATGTATTTGCTTTTTTATGAATCTGTGTTTGAGGTCAATTGGGTCACCACGGGATGTCAGCTGGAGTATCATGGATTATACTCTGGTCTCACCGGGGGTTCTCGGGGAGTCTATCCTCCTATCCTTTCTGATCCTGGCTCCGGATGGAGTCCATCTTCAGTAAACTCCATTCACTGTCCAGCGTATGTGGAATGTTATTTTGCTTGTGCATTTTATCATCTTTTCAAAGAAATAAGATCCAGTACACCATTTTATGTTCTATATTATTTTTATATAGTCTTTATTATATTATGCTCAGCTCAGGGCTATATGAAGAGTTGTGTACTGTTTCTTGCATATCGAGTTAACAATTTACAGAATGTTTAACACAATTTCTCTAATGATGCGAAGATATCAATGAAGTTGATAACCATTTTTTGCAGCATTAGAAAAAGGGAACATTTGGTAATTGCCATATATCTGAAGACATATTAAGTGTTTACTAGCTGCCTTACATATAATTCTTAAGGGGCATTATCCCCGTAAGGAAGTTTCAGCAATGTTTAGTATATTTTAATGTTCAGCAAAATCCTTATTAGTGGGTTTTGAGACATTTAATATGTCATTTTAAAAATGGTTCAGTAAAAAAAAAAAAAAAAAAAAAAAAAAAAAATTTTGCAATCAATCTGAGTCAGTGAAACATTTCATTAGAACCTTGCAATCAATGTCAATACATTTACAATATATTGTTTCACTTGTACAATGAGCAGTAGAAACTTTAGTAATGCTTTCTATATTTCATTTGAAACTAGTGCTAATTGTAACGGGGACCGTTACAGATGTTCCCCAAACGCTCCCCAACTCCCTTTCGGTGCCATATTCCCTGTAAGCTTCATTAAATAACACAAACTCTATGGATTTGAGACTTTAACAACGTTTACCCAGAAATGTACAATGCTCATTCAGATTTTAGCATTGCATGTGTGCGCATGTGAATGCATGTACGTAATGACCATATCATCTTGTCTACACAATCTATATATTTTAATATACTAAATATTAAAAGATTTAATCCAAGAGTATTAAAAAAAATTCGCCCATTCAAGTGTATTTTTGATTTTACCCATTTCGCGTGCACACACGTGCATGGTGACCATACCTTCTTGTAGAAGTCCATTATATATATATTTATGTTCCAAATCCCATCTTGTTTGGTTGAAAACCAAGGGAGTTATAACAGTTTAAAGTTTCAGCCAATCAGATTGCAGCTCACGTACACGCACGTGTATGCATGTGCATGGTGACCATACCTTCTTGTAGAAGTTCATTTTATATATCTATGTTCCAAATCCCATCCTTTTTGGTTGAAAACCAAGGGAGTAATAGCTATTTAGTTTCAGCCAATAAGATTGCAGCGCACGTGCATGCACGTGTTTTCATGATAATTTCTATATATCATGTTGTAGGACATCCTAATGCATGGCTATGTTCAAAATTTCAAATGATTTCGTCAAAAAACAAGAAAGATATTGAGTCTTTAGTTTCAGCCAATCAGAGCGAAGCGCACGTGCATGCGCGTGAGATCTTGCTTTTTTGATCATGTCATCTTGTCTACACTACTAATATATCCTTACATTATAAATTTCAAAAGATTTCATCAAAAAATAGAAAAGTTACGGCTATATCCATTATATTGGTCATTTCACGTGTTGCTCGTGCTCGCTCTTGCAAACACGTGCGCGCAAAATGGCATGTTGACAATGTCATCTCATCTACATTTATAATATGTCTATATATTCTAAATATCAAAGCATTACATCAAAAAATGTAAAAGTTACGGCAAT